GCTCTGCACGCTCTATTTCCAGCAGTGTCGGACCTCTGTTGGCGGTGCCAGCAGCCATTAGCAGGCATGCTTCACATTTTTTGGACATGCCCAGTACTTGGACAGTTCTGGGACGAAGTACACGCTCTCACTCAGAGATTTACTGACGCTCAGATTCCCTGCGACCCTGCCCTCTTCCTCCTGCATCACAACACCATTAGTATGCGGGCATATTCACGCTCACTCATCAGGCACATAATTAACACAGCCCGAGCAAGCATTCCAGCCCTTTGGAAAAAACCTGAGCCCCCACGGATCAGACAGGTCTTAGACCGCGTACATGATATCTACCTCATGGAGGACCTGACGAGTTCCGTCAAACACACCAATGCCCAGTTCTCTAGTACCTGGCTTCCCTGGATGGAGTTCATGAGTTCCCCCGAATACCTCACGCTCTGACAGGATACGGCTTCATGATGAGGTCTACAGCCACTGGATCCCTTCCTATCCCTTTTTTTTTTCTTTCTCTCTCGCCTTGTTCTGGACCCCGCTCCTCCTCCCCCTCCAACTCCCCATACCCTGGCGCGACCCGTACCCTCCCTGACCCTTAGTCTTACCCCCCCTCCACCAGTCCACATAAGTAACCCTCACATGCTGATAGCATACTTGACGCCCTCACCATCACAAGGTTCTCCCGTCCATCTGTGTAGTAAAGTACACCTGCATTCTAGTAAAGACCACGGGACACTGAGCTACTCAAACCCAGCTGTTCAGCTCCCACGACATGGAGAGGGTTAGACTCCCGCGCTCGCCGCTTACATTATCACTGCCACGACAGGGGACACCTCAGGATATTAGCATTTCCCGCTCGCGTGGGAGGTCTGGCCCCCTCTGACCATGTTCTTAAAGCTAACGATCACATCATACTTGTTGGAATTTTTTTTATGTGTTGTAATGTTTTATTGACACAATTGCTGCTTTTTTGTACGTGACTCAACCTCATGTCTGTGAGCATTATTTCACATTGTGCTATGTACAACCTGGATAAAAATGTAAAATCATACAAATAAAGATTTTTTTTTTTTTTAAAGTTGGTTATACGCATATCTAACTAACACGTCACTAACGACTCTCGAATACCTCACTATGACCAGCAGGTGGAAGGACAGGCTCCCAATCATGTGATCACTCTGACAGCAAATCATTACATGAATAAAAAGCCCAGGAGATACCAACAGGAAGGGGTTAAAGATCAATTATTCCATTTATGCTTTATTACAGGCGGAGAGTGTATTATAGGGGAATTACCAAAATGACTGTGGATAACTTACTGTATATAACAATGATAGCTTCTACACAAGGTAAGTTATAAACTAAAGGGGCAGACCTATAAAGCAGCAGTATTAAGGTGACACTTCTCCTTAAGAAAGAAAAAAAAATACAGGGAAGAGAGCCAAGTGCTTAGTGCTAGTGTTCTCCTCCATGCATGGAGCTACTGTATCACTGCTGTGTTAAGCAGTGAGAACTCCATGAGGCAACAACACAGGCTCCAAATTGCAGCCTGCATTTTATGAATGGACTGTGGTTTGCTGTGGTGTGCGTATCTCAGCAGAATATAATAGATAAATCAGCACAATAGTATCATTCTGATTAGGGAGGACCTATAATCAAAAAGTGAAGACTACTGTTTGGAACAGGGGATATCTACAAAGGTCATTTGTGCCTAAGCAATACACTGGGAAAAAAAGCCTTTTGCCTGGAATTTAATTTCTCTGGACAAGTGCCTAGGCACTCCTGTTCTGTATCCTCACAGCTCTACATCTGCAGTGTGAGATTATCTAAGGAACTGCTACCTCTAAATGCTAGGCTATGAGATATGAAATGAGATTTGGTGATGTCACTACTGTTCTCCTTGCTGGAGAAAAGGCTATACCTGATGTCCTGCAGTACAAGGATCTCCCTGCTTCTGCTTCATTCATTCTCTGGATCTGAGCTTCCTTTACTTCAGCCGCTACTCATTGATCATTACCCCACCAGTCACCATATTACCAGTCATCAGCGGCCAGCTCTGACATGAGCAAGCAAAGCCCTGCTACTCTACCAAGATGGCTGTCCCCACACGGAGGCACAGAGAACAACAACGCATGGAAAGTCAATAAGGAGGAAAAACAGCTGAAGGTAGCTCAAAGGCAATACTGTGGCAAGTCCTTTGCCCTCCACTTGCCTTTTTGGTGCAGCTTCCACAGGATAGCTCCATCATAGCACAATATATTTGTCATATTGGCATGTTTTATATACATTTTTCAAACTTGTAATCAATGAGGCTAGCCATGCCACTGAACTTCAATTTTTGTAAATCTCCTGAGGAAAACGTGTATATCTTCTATAAAAGCAAAATCCGTGCAGTAGCAATTAATCAGATTCCAGCTTTATACAAAGTCTATTTACTTTTAATTTGACTATCTTTCTTTCTTTAAAAAAAACTAGTATGCGAACCAGGGTGCTAGTTAGGCACATCACCTGCTATGGAGGGGTTTATAGGTGTCCTGTAAAGGGTAACTCCACTTTTGTTAAGCAAATTGATATAACTTATAGAATTGCTGCACTGGACATTTTTGGTAGTTTAGTAGCATGAAAAATGACCTTTCCATTTCAACTTGTAGCAAGCTTTAATTATCCTGTCATTTTACCGTAATTGTCCTTAGGCTAAGTATTTCTTTGTACTAATAATATTTATTGATAAAGAGCATGCACACAGAAGGATTTTCCAACAAGTCAGAATAGCATTTTTTTCAACAACTCCTATTTTATATGCTGTCAGTATTATTACTATTATATGGGATTTATATAGCGCCAACAATTTGCATAGCGCTTTACAATATAAGGAAGACAATACAGTTACAATACAAGTCAAGACAAGATGGTAAGGAGGGTCCTGCCCATGAGAGCTTACTATCTAAAAGGGAGGGACAAGTGATACAAGATGTGGAAGCTGTGTGGGGATGAATGGGTTGAGAAAGTGATAGTTCAATGGTTATGTTGATGCAAAATAGACTTCCCTGAAGAGAGGAGTCACTGTCACTGACTTAGAAGAAGCTTGCAGAACCTAATTTCTGACCCCACTTTTGGCATGCTGGTTCTAGGTCAGTGACTAAGCCAGAGACAGACAAGCACCAAGCTTTTTTTTAGGAGTAAATCAATGGCAACCTATTATATCTATAATGACAGATTCCCTTTAAATAGTTGTGTCTGCATCAACTATGACAATATATATGAAAAGTACAAATCACCTTTTTAAGGTAATGTTTCCATTAAGAAAGGGAGAATCTGCACATATTTCTCAAAATAACTAGCGGGGAGAAGAAAAAAAACATTTCATCAAAGTAGTCCTCGGAATTTTAGTATTATAGAGAAGAATAACAAAGGATCAATTTATGTGTGTTAGCAGGATTTCTTGTGATGAAAATACATTTGATTTTGCAGCCAACAGGCTATTAAAAAACACTTCTGATGTTAAAGTTTATGAAGTGCATTCCTCTGTGAGGACGATTAAGAGATGTTCTATTTTTTTACAGAAAGGAAAAAAGCTCATCACATGAACTTCAGTAGGTTAAACAAGAATAAAGAAGCCAACCTGCCAAACCTTATTTATCTTGTATGCCATATTATAAGAGACCTTCTGGATTAGGCTGCCTACCAGTGCTGTTCAACAAAAACTGGTTCTGTCCAGGATACATTATCATTACTTGATGGGATCTGTCCCATGTGTGTTGCCAGTTCATTTCCTTCATAATTGACATGTTTGAACCACACAGTCTTTGTAGCTGCTTGTGTACTGACAAATACTAAAAAAAGAACCAGTATAAAACGTAGAAGGATGTACTGTCAACTATGCCTCAAGAAAAATAAATGCTTTCAACTTGCTTCATATCATAAACCTGCTGGATGGTGTTGAGCTACAGAAATATAGACACCCAATTAGTTACAGCAATATGATAGCCACATGCTGCAAACAGCATGCACGAACACAATCATTTGGTTGCTCAAACTCTTACAATCAGCCACATGTGGTGCAACAAAGCCTGCTGGTTGGCTTGCGCTCCCTAAACTGTTAGGAGGCCATTACAAGTGGCAGGTGTAACGCTAAAAGCAAATGATCTGCAATTTCAGAAAAAAATTAAGCTCCATCCTTAGGAAAGAAATATAAATAGAACAGTTTGTAAGAATAGAAAAGAAGGAACTCAAGCTGCAATATCCACCTCCTCTTTGATTCTGTCCCCCACAGACTCACTGCTCTGTTAGTGGGTCGTCCTACCAGGTTGAAGATGTGTTAGAGGACCCAGAAGGGTGAAGTTGGTCTTTAATGATTTAAAGCAAACCTACAAACTTTTGGTTAAACCTCCACTCCCCGTCCTTTTTATGTCAAGGGTCTTGTGGTTGGTTCAGTGTTATTACATTTTCTTTAGTGGTAGAAGTAAGTGGTATTTGTTCCTGCACTGAATGGCATCTACATAATGATGTGTGAGCATTGTTTAGTGCAGTACTACTCCTTGCCAAGACCAGTGTGATGACAGTCCCCCAGGGGGTGGATCCAAGAAAGTCTGGACTCAGAGAAAGTGGGTTGAATAAGACCGTCCGTCATTCCACCAAGAAGACTGGTGACATCTATTGGTTTAAAGGACATACTGTGGGGGCGGCTTTGGAATGAAGGCGAGTATTCCAGCGAAAGCTCCCACCCCCCTTCCCCTTTTTTTTTAATTTTTGCTGGTCTTTTTAATTACTATATTTTTTGCCTGGTGTTCTTCTTTATTAAAAGGTACTCTGATTCTATCGCTTTAGTTATATGCCTACAATTACAGTCAGCTCCCTGTTTACATAATTACTACTATATATTATATAAGTTAAAAAAAAGGTACACTTTAATACAGTGACACATGTTTAACATTTGAATGCAGTAAAATGATTTGTACATTAATTATTTTTTTAAGTATATGAAATAATAAATGCACAGAAAAATGTCTTTACCTCAGCGTTGCATCCTGTGCAATGACCCGAAAAGAGTATTTATCTGGCAAGAGGGAGATGCAGTCACCATCGTGCAGCAAGCACCATTCGTCTTTTTCCAAAGGTACAAAGGTGCCCTTGTGAGAGGCTTGATAAAAACATGGATTCACATGTATCTGGAAGAAAATATGGCAAGATAAACATTATATACTAAAAACTCAATAGTATGTTTCTCTACGTCCTGGAAAGCAAAGCAATTACAGGGCACAAATGCAAACTATTATACTCCATTGGCTCAAAATATCCACACAGCATGAGGAGAAAACATGAAAATGGAAGAAGTGAACCTGAGGCTCTTCATCTGTCACAAAATTTCAAATCCCATTATGTGCTGCCAACAAAAATAATGCTAGGGGTTAAACTTTCACAAAAGTGTGAAGATGGGTGATTGTATCAGCTTATACACCTGTATCTCAGCAAGCTATGATCATGAAAGCAAAAGTTTCCATTGTACCACATGTTTATTGGTAAGATTTCCCAGCAATGCACTGTGATGTAGCCTTCGCAGGATGCATCTATTAGCCCCGGATTACAACACTAGTGCCTAAGAGGTCCATGAGGTGGAAAAAAAGCAATTATAAGTAAAAGCAAAATATGTTTGTTTAGCCAATGATTGTAAGATGATTTCATATCAGCATGCAAAGCTGCTCTCTGATGTGATTTTAAATGAAAGGGGCAAAGGTCCACTTTAAGATGCCTTTCATAGTTTAAAAAACCCTACTGCTACTTGGTGAAAGCATTCCCCCACAACAATCAGGAGCAGCAGAATCAGTTTGTTTTAGGTGAGTGCTAGGATCTACATATCACAAGCTGCGCATTCTGTTTAATAATTTCTGCCAGAATATTGGCTGCAAAAAAAGTCAAACCGCTAATGGTATGCTTTTGTTGTATACCTACTGCTTTTTTAATGCAATAAAAATAACTGTTCTCAAATGACTACAGGAAAGGTTTTGCTAGGATGGACGGGAGGATGATTTTACTTGTATTACTATATGTTTCAAGTTCTGCAGGTGTCCAGTAAATGTGTTTTAAACAGAAGCAATTATTTAACATGTAACCTTGTCACTTTCTGAAATCTCCCAATCAAAGGCAGGCCTGCAAATAAAAGGGTCAATACTCCCTCCTATGCCAACCATCCCCAATGGCTTTACCAGCTTGTCTAAAACATCTTTAACATGTGGGACTCTCCAGGTGTGCCAGATGCCTGGTGCTCCCTGCTGTGTAATGTGGTTCCTTTCTCCAGTCTCTAGGTCACTACTGTGTCCTGTTCTACCATAGAGGTCAAGTTAAGCGTAAAAAGATTTAAAAAAATAAAAATAAAGTCTCATATTAAAAAACACCAAAAAAAAAGTTAAGTCCCACGTGTACACGCAGGTATAAATGTAAATACACGTTGGGTGCGCCTATGTGTGACAACAACGATTACGCCACACATGTTACATATCGCTGTGAACGTCGGAGTGACAGCAATAATTCTAGGGCCAATAATCACTAATAACACTAAATTGATGATCGATAAAAGCTTTTAAAGGAGAACTATGAGGTGAGTGCTTTTCACTCACCTCATAGTTCTAGCCGACCTGTGACAATGAGACTGTCACAGGTCGGCTTAGTAGATCCGGAGGTGAGCGAACACATACCGGCGTTCGCTCACCTCTCGATTCTGTCACGGCTCTCTGCCGTGACAAGGGAGGGGCTGGATTCCCCCCTCCCCGCTCCGATCCGCCAGCACTGACTGGCGGAACGGACGGGGGAGGGGGCAGTTACAGCTGGCTCTGCCTCTAGATAGGCAGAGCCAGCTGTCAGTCACGCAGCTGGGCGAATCCAGACATAATTGTCGGGATCCGCTTCAGCTGCGGTGTCTCAGTATACCGCGAGCAGCAGCTCACGGTATACTGCGGTGTCGCCTAGGGTGACGGGAGGACGCTAGTTTGTGTCCTCCCGTTACCCTAAGGAGAACTATGGGGAAAAGCCTTAACCCCCATAGTTCTCCTTTAAAGTGTTTTGCTGATGGCCAATTTTCTTGGCATGGTAGATTGCATACGCAATTTTAAAGCTTGGCATGTTTGGTGTCTATTTACCAAACATGACCCCGTCTTTCATATTTTACCAGAAAATGGGGTAATATCAAATGTTTTATAACATAACGTAGGGGAAAACAGGTTTTTTTTCAACATTTTCGGTTCTTTTTTTCATTATATATAAACATAAAAAGCCCAGTGGTGATTAAATACCACCAAAAGAAAGCTCTATGTGTCCCCAAAAATGGTATAAATTCAGTACAGCGTTGCATGATGGAATAAATGTCAGTCAGAGTACTGCAGCGCTAAATACAAAAAAATGGCCTGGACAGGAAGGGGGTATAACACCCCGGGCAGCAAGTGGTTAAATATCTACAGTAACAAATGTAATCTACAGCACCACGTGCTAGTGAGATCTGACTCATAGGCTCGGTGTGAAATGACTCCACCACAACACTCATTGTCCTTCTGTTGGCCTACAGCCCCCCAATCACATAAAAGAACATCTAAGCAGAGCTTCAACTGTTTACTAGAGGCAGCAAAATATTGATATCTGCCACAAATACATAAACCATAAAACACACATCCTTAGGCGCTTTGTCTTTGAGAAAAGCAATATATTGAAACACACCTCACCATTCAACAGCTATTGTCCAGAATGTAGAAAATGTACAAAATTCTTGATACAGTATTCATTTTAATTGTTACTATGTTACTCAAAATAACGCACAGAAAAGATTATGTCTACAAATGGCACATAAGTAACGAGAAAGTAATCACAATGGTATGCTAGTATATATAGTATGTCATAGTAATCAGCTATAATTTGAGATACAATTTATTCCTAGACATACCACAGAAAGCAAAAACTGACAAACTAATCTTCATGAAAAATATGAAAAAATGTACAGCAAATTATTCGATTTTCTGAAGAGCACTGATGTGATCTCTCAAAAAATATTTCACTTTTTAACACTACGTTTTTTTTATAGTACGTAGTGTCATCTCTTATGTAAATGTGTCTATAGGCACAAACTAATACTCAGCAGCTGCAACAGAAACATATATAATGTCAATATAACAATGACAGACTGGGTCTGGGATCTACTGCTTCTTTATCTGCTAAGGAAGCACATTACCTGGTACTCATCATGGAGCCTAGGGTCCAACTGCCTAAAAATGATGCTAGCAACCACAAGATGAAACAAAAGAATTAAAGTAGAATGAGACCTTTAATTTTTTGTATATATTTACTGCTAGCAAGCAGTAAGTATATTCAAAAACATGAAAAAAATAAAGTCACCAAAAAGGTTATTACTTACCTGTGTCTTCGCCGCTCGTTCCCATCCGAAGATCAGAATAATTCTCGAGCGGCCGTGAAGGATTATGGGGCAGGCGCATGCGCAGTAAAGATCTTCGGGCAGGAGAAGAGGGGAGACTCATTGTAGGTCAATGCAAGTAGCCCGGCAGCATGCACACGCACAGACTCCGTGGGACAGGAAGACAAAGCAGTCGGCGCTGGATCAGAGACCTGCACCAGCGCTGGAGGGACTCCTAAAAACTACTGGAAAGAAGATGTTCGGATCAAGAGGCATGATTTAATGTAAGTCCTTACAGTAGCATAGGGGGGGGGAGGGGGGATGACTTTAATGTCACTTTAACCCCTTCATGACTGAGGCCTTTTTTTCATTTTTTGTACCCATGTTATAGTCACGAAGGGGTTAAGTCTACCTATAACTGGTGTTTTCAGTTTCTGGCAGAAATTTGAGAATTGAAACTACCTAATAGTTACTTATCTGTCTTGGGGACTCAAGTTTTAAGATCTCTGCACTTGAGTTACTGAGGTCTTTACACATTTGGCAGCCACTACAAAAGGAGTCCCAAACTTCCTGCTTGATTTTTCTTTTTTTAATGGATGGAGAAGGGCATAACAGCTTAATAGTTATCCCACATGAGGTTTTAGGGATCTGGGTTTGATTCCCAGTAGGGACACTATGAAGCATGGTGATGAACATATTATAATTTGGGGTTGCTTTGTTTCTTTAGAGCCTGCAGTCATGAAGTCAACTATGAACTCTGCATGCAACATATGAAAGTCTGCTTATAGTGTAACTCCACTTTTGTTGAGAAAAAACAAAAAGTACACTTTGGGTGATCAATGTACATTGCAAGGTCTTCAATAAATGGTGTTGCAGATCCCTGCCTGTTTTGGTTTGTTTCACTATGTACTTTACAAAAGGTTTCCCAAATGGAATAGATCCCTTTAGTAGTAGTTAACCCTTAGGGCTTGTTCACACGACGTCCGGATTCAGTCCAGGCCAGATCCGTGCGCTCCTGCACCCAAAATGCACCCCAAAGCCTATCCCATCTCAACCTAACCACTGAACCATCACATTCTCAAACAATTCATCCCCACACAGCTACCTCCTCATGTATCATTTCCCCCTCATCTTTCAGATTGTAAGCCCTCAGGGGCAGGGCCCTCCTTACCATCCTGTCTTGAATTGTATTGTAATTGTAATGTCTTCCTTACATTGTAAAGTGCTGTGCAAACTGTTGGCGCTATATAAATACTATGTAATAATAATAATGTATCCCTATGTGTTTTATGGGCTACAGTTCTCACAAGCACAGTCCGTTCCAGTCCGGACAGAAAAAATCCTGCATGTCACATTTTTGTCAAAAACGCGATGAAAATGCACCGCACTGCAGCTAACATACTGACAGCACCACTCCCAACAAAAAAAAATGTATATATTTTTTTTAAACTGGAACGCGTCAAAATCGCATCAAAAACGCACTGCATGCATAGCACCGCGTCTGCAGATCCAGCACCAGATCTGGACCAGATCAGGACCGGAAAATCATGTGAACAAGCCCTAAGGGAGTTTTTAATCAGAAAGGAAATTTTTACTGAAGGGTATGCCTATCATTTTACTTGTATCTTAGTGCAGGCTTTTGGAAAAACCTAAAAGTCAATCATACAAGCAGGACATTCCATACACTAACACTGTAAAGAATGACTCTAGGTTGCATTTTACATTAAATGTTTTAAATAGTTTTAGAAAATTAAAGCGGCTTGTAATAAATGGAAA